CTCCGGTGGAACAACGACATAAGTGCAAATTTTTGACTTTTTGACATAAGTACGACAACAGTACAATAACATTTCATTTTATCGAATGGAACAATGACATAAGTATAATACCTATTATTGACCGCTAGAGAGCAGTTTCGTCATTGTTGAAATTACCGGTTTTTAATCACATGTCCAATGGAACAATGACGTTGTTATCAGTTGTGTTTCGCCTACCGACCGCGGTGCATTGTTTTTATTTCTACAACGACGTAATTGTTATTTGTGACACTTTTTTGTTTAATCCTGGTGCCACAACGACGTAAGTGAGAGTTACGTCATTTTTCATCTAAAAACACTTAATTTTTCGTCATTATCTAGTGGAACAACGCCGTAAGTATACATTCCGTCATTATTGACTTCAAATTTTTTTTTTTTTTTTAGTGTAATTGTTCTTTCTGTCATTGTTCACTCAATATTTCTTTGCTTTTTTCCAATTTGCGATTTTATTTTTATTTTGTAAACTATGTTTTTAGAGTATTATAATGAAACGAACAAAGCTATTATTAGAACTAGCTACTCAAAAGACTGAAATTGAGAAAAATTCTGTATGTAATATTGAAAATTCGCCTAAGAGTAAGTAGCTACCTCATATTTATAGATTAAAACAAACTAAATTGCTTATACCTAGGGTTCGCACATTTGATTGATTTTTTGGTTTTATATAAAATATATTTAAATGCTATGCAAATGTATGCTATATAACCGGGAGAGGCAAAAGTCAATTAACTGATTTACATGAAGGACGATTATTATAAGTAATCATGTAAAAATTAATTAATTAATTAAAATTATGATGTAATAATATTATTAATTTGAATTATAATAATATTATTATGACTAGGGCTCGGAACTTAATGTACTTAAAAAGTACTAAATATGCATGCACTTATGCGCTTAAAAAAGTACAAATATGCTCTAAAAATATGCACTTATATTTTATTTTTTAAACATAACATTTTCAAAAAATGCAAAGTAATAAAAATAATACGGATTTTTAATTTTTAATCATAATTTAAACAAAAAACAAAACAAATAATAATAATTAGATATAATTTTGTTCCTACCTTCAAAAGTGTTACATTGGACCACTAAACTTTTATATTAATATATTATATTAATCAACAGGCCTGATTATGACTATAGCCATTCCCGATTAACCAATAACCATTTTTATTTATTATTTTTTTTTGTTCTTTATGCTTATGCTTATGCTTATGCTTATTGCTTGTTGCTTTATTCTTATTTAACTGATTCTCCCGAGATTTTGACTGACGCTCAATATTTGCAGTCCAGTCCATCATCATCTGTAACACCGTGTTGTATCGCCGAACAAAATGAATCACCAATCAAGCTTAAGCTTCGTAGATTGACAAAACAGACGAATTATAAAGTAATAGTTGATGATTCAGAAAATGAGGAAAATCTTTCTGGGGATGACAGTGACAACTATATTCCATCAGTAAGTGAAACATCTTCGGAAAGTGAGAGCACTGACCAGTTGACCGATCTCCAAACAATCGATCTCCCGATAACAGTTTCACCTATCAAAAAAGGAAAAAAGAGATCAAGAAACCCAGAGCAATGGAAAAAAACAAAAGCCAAATTATTGAAGAATTCTGGTAAGAGCTACACTTCTAGAACAGGGAAAACTGTCAACGAAAGGGTTATGGGGCCAAATTGCTCTGACCGGTGTATTCTAAAGTGCTCATCAAAAGTATCTGACGAATACAGGATTGAACTTTTTAATAAATATTGGAGTTTGGCGTCATTACAGCGACAACGGGATTACTTAGCTTCATGTATTGAGCCCCTCCAACTCAAATATCGTCGTATATTTACTTCAGAAACTCCCAGAAGGCAAAACTGTGGATTTTATTTGCTTTTTGAAGGAAATCGAATTCGGGTATGTAAAACCTACATGATTAACACTTTCGGAATAACGGAAAGAACGATTCGCAGTGTCATTCAATCAAGAACTTCTGGTTCAGGCATAACTGTAGAAGACAAACGAGGAAAACATGGCAATCATTCGAGAGCTGACCTAGATATAATAAATTCCGTAAAAGAACACATCAACTCCATTCCTAGAGTCGAAAGTCACTATCAAAGAGCCAACACAACAAGAGAATTCGTTGATGGCGGGTTGTGTATTGCTGAAATGCATAGACACTATGCAAAAGAGCGAGTCGACAATGGAAAAACTGCAGCGAGTTACGATTGCTATGCTCGTATATTTAATACGGAATTTAACATTGGATTTTTCTCTCCCAAAAAAAGATCAGTGTGATTTTTGTGAAGGGTTCAACAATGCCACGGCAGAAGAAAAAGCAAAGTTGGAAAACGACTATCAACTACACCAAGATGAAAAAAACTTGAGCCGAACGGAGAAGGCTAATGATAAAGAAAAGGCTAAAGAAATGGGATCTAACATTGTCTTAGCTACCTTTGATTTACAAGCAGTTATGCCAGTACCTACTGGGCAGAGTTCTGCTTTTTTCTATAAATCAAGATTGAATTGTTTTAATTTTACGGTATGTAAATAGTTATTTTAACTCTTAAAAACTATTTTTATAACTGCTTAATTTTTATTGTAGGTATCAGAAATAATCAAGGATCATACCATCTGTTATTTCTGGCATGAAGGAGTAGGACAAAGAGATGCTATTGAAATAGGTTCATGTCTTCTAATGTTCATCGAAGAAATTGCGAATTCTCGTCCTGGAAGTGACATCATATTTTACTCTGATAACTGTTGTGGTCAACAAAAGAATAGGTAGAAAAAATTTAATCATTTTGTGATATTTTCTTAGGACTTATTAATTTATTTACGGGCTAGAATTCCAATATAATTCACCGAATCTATTAAAATGTACTTATATTATTTGTTTCAGGTTTGTACATGCCATGTATTTATACGCAGTGGAAAAATATCAAATAAATTCCATTACGCATAAATACCTTATTCGAGGTCACACACAAAACGAAGGCGATACAGTACATAGTGTTATTGAAAAATCTATGAAAAGGAGCAAAAAATCAGGACCTATATACGTGCCCGATCAATTAGTGACTATAATTAGGAATTCTAAAAAAACGGGAAAACCATTAGTCGTAAAGGAACTGAGCTTCAAGGATTTTATTGATTTAAAATCGTTGACCGACGAGATTGGTTACAATTGTCAAAAAAACACAGAAGGTGAGCAAATAAAAATATCAAATATAAAAATTATAAGATTCGTGAAGGGCAGTGAAGTTTGTTTCTACAAAAATTCCTACAAAGACATAACCTGGGAAAAAGCTCAAATGAAAAAAACAGGAACAAGACGTTCCGGTGCAAAGGATATTGGTAGTATAAAAACAAAACTCGCATACAACTCGAAAATTCCAATAGCTGAAAACAAGAAGAAAGATATACAAAGCTTACTGACATCCAATATAATTCCAAATTACTACGAAACGTTTTATAATACACTATTTTGATTTTTAATTTGTAAATTAACATAATAAATAATAATAATAATATTTAAGTTTCAGATTATAATATAATTTTTTTTCAAAAGTAAAGAATAAAAATATTTAAGTTTTCAATAATTACTTGAATTTGTTTTTCTACAACTCCTAATTAATATAGTGTGTGATTATAACAAAATAATCAGAACTTCCTAATTTTATCTTGTATGTCAAAAATACTAAAAATTTGGCATTTTTTGGAAGAACAATGACACAATTGCAATTTTTTTTATTAATTTTGAACTGTGTAGGGGTAGTTTATTGGTTTTGACAAAACCGATAAAACTATCTTAAACTGGACTAAATTTGACATTATAACAATGACCGTTTATTCTTTTTAGACTATTTATTATATCCTAAATAATACAAACAATTACACAATAATTTTTAATTACGTTTTCTGAAGAACAACTACATTTTCACTTACGCCGTTGTTCCACCGGAGAAGCGACATGTAGATGCATTATTGTCGTCGTTACGACGAATACGACGGGTATGTATGAACGATTTCTATTCTGAATTTTGATATCCTGGTAATCAGACCACTAAGGTCGCACTATGTTCGGAAAGACAATTATGTAAAAATAACAAATATGATAATAGAAATTTTAAAATATATTTAATTTTTAACCCAATTATTTGAGCCTTGGGTATTTGAATAATATTTAAATGTAATGGGGTGGCCATCAGGGTGGTCTGTAAATATTTTGGGTGGCCGGGCCACCTCAGGCCACCCTTTAGCTACGTGCCTGGTGGTGTCCAAGTAAATTTATCAGTAGCCAAAATGGAGCCAGAACTGGCAGACGTAGTGTTATCAGTATGCGGAGTCTTAGCTCAAGAGCGTGCAAACCAAATTATTTCTAATCGTAAAAAGAAAAGAAAAATATGGGTGCGAGGTTGGGTTGCCAGGCGAAATATTTTAGGTGGATCAAATACGTTATTAATGGAGCTCCGAGTGGAAGACAGACCAGGTTTCATGAACTAAATGAGGATGAGTGATGGTCATTTTAATATTTTACTAAAAAAATTGATAAAAAAAAAAATATTCAAAAACAGGACACATTTTTTCGAGAAGCAATACCAGCTAAGACAAAGCTGGAAATCACATTAAGATTTCTCGCTACTGGAGAGTCGTATTCGTCACTACAGTACTTTTTTCGAGTGCCCAAATGTACCATAAGTTTGTTTGTACCTGATGTTTGTACAGAAATCTATATTTAATCTATGTTTTGGAAAATTTCATAAAGGTAATTTTATTATAATAAATTTATTTTCACTTTAAATAATTATATCAGTACTTATGAAATATATAATATACATAAAAAACAATTAAATATAGAAAAACAAAATGATAAATACGCTGACATAACTTTTATTGACTTATGGAACTAAATAACTGTTCAAATGTTTGCGGTGCGGGTTCTTCTGTGTCTTCAATATTATACTCAGAAGATTCATTATACGTATAATTTGAACTTACTGATGGAATATTTAAATCAATGGATGAGGATGAATTAGATAGTAAATGGTATTGTAATGGCCTTCTTCGTAGTTTGATTGACGAGATTGAGGAGTGTATGTATCATGATGAATTTGAGTTTGTATATTATTTGATTCACGGCTTTCTTCTTACTTCAACAATTCCTCTGTTAAGATAGTTTGTATTTTCAATTGCGATGCAAGTGCTTGCCTTTTAGGAAGTTGATTAAGTTGAACAGCAACACTTTTACCAAAAATTTCAAACGGATTTTCAACTTTTGGTGCAGATGCAATTGCTGCAATTTTTTCCAATCTATCTACTGTGGTATCAATGTTAAACAAATTTCGTGGAGTTAATTTTCTTTTTTTATTTAAATTTATCGGGATTGAGTTAGTAGTTGACATTGGTTTGGTTAAAGATTTATTAATAGTTTGAATGGTTGCAGTACAGTTTTCGAAACTAACTTGGTTTTGTGTTGATGTTTTTTTCTGTAGTCTCTGAATTTTCGTTATCACATTTTTCATTTTCATTCTCAATGCTACTACTTTGAGTGCAAGAGATTACATTAGATGTCTACAAACATAAAATTATAATAATATTGATAAATTATTTTATTAAGTAATAACAATAAATGTTTGATATTTCAGTGTCCATCAAGTTTTAAAGAATGGAATGACGGGGGCAGTCGACCGTTGCCGAGCTGGAGCAACCAAGCGACGAAGCGCGCGTCGTTGTCGGCGCGCATGTTGCGGACCAGGTTAAAGCGCTCCATGCCACGCCACAGACTGTTGTGCCTGATCGAGGACATGACAATGTCAGCCCTCGATCCTCTTCGGACCACGGGCAATATCTGCCTGAAGTCGCCCGCGAACAGCATGGGTTTACCGCCGAACGGTAATTCTGATCCCATGACGTCCCTGAGCAGGCGGTCCACCACCGTCAGCTGCAGTCCCG